GCCGCGCGCGTCAGGACCCGCTCACCCCGCACCCCGCGCCGCCGCGAGCCGCCACCCGGGCGCAGGCCGCTCGGGCAGGTGCGCCCGCGGGAGGCCCGTCCCGGGCGGGCGGGGCGGGCGGCGGACCCTGAGTCACCGCGGGCGGCCGCGGCTCCCGGAGAGGCCAGGGGCCGCGGCCGGCCGGGCCCCGCGGCGGCGGGCGGACCCCCCTCCCCGCCCGGCCCCGGCCCCTCAGCAGCGCGGCGCGGGCCTCCCGGCCTACCCCGCGGCCCGGCCCGGCCCGCCTCGGGAGTGCGGCCCGGCTCGGGTCAAGGCGGGCGCCGGCAGCTCGGCACTGACCTCTCCGCGGGGCCCGCACGCGGGCGGCGGCAACGGCCCGGGGACTCGGGGGCTGCAGAGGCGGCGGCGGCCCGGTTCTCCTCTCAGGCGGCGGCCATGTTGCTGGTGGAGAAACTCCGGCTGACACGTGGGGGGAGCGGGGCGGGCCCTCGAGCTTCCTCTTACCCACAATGCCCCGCCCCGGCGCCGGCGGACCCGCCCCCTCGGCCGCTCCATTCATGCCGGCCGCCGGGCGCGCCGGGCAGCAGGGGGCGCTGGTGCGCCGTCAAAACAGGCCAACACGGCCGCGAGCCGAGGCAAAAACGTTCACCTTGGCAGCGGTGGGATTCGAACCCACGCCCCCGAAGAGACTGGAGCCTTAATCCAGCGCCTTAGACCGCTCGGCCACGCTACCGAGATGTAGGACGGATGCTTCAGTCAACTCCTTAAAACGTCTTTATGCAATTGCAGTGCAGCGTTTTTCTGGCGCTTCCTTGCTTAAGCGTATTTTATTTGATGGTAGCAGAATTCTTTAGAGTACACCACCTCCTTAAGAGAAAATATTTGCTCCAATATTTAGATCCAGACTTGTATCACGGGTTTTTAGAGCGAAAAGCAGTTTTAGAGTCTGTGTTTCGAGGTGCATGTTTAGGTAACCAAGGGGCCTCGCATTTACCCACAAGATTTGGGTTCTTCTCTGGGAGAAATTAGGAATTTTGGTTTCCTGCACCAGTGGATCAAAAGGCCAAAACAAGGGAGGTGGTTCTGCGCAGTTTTCTCTGTAAATTTGCGTTTTGATTTTCAGTTAACTAAAAATTACTTAAATTATTGCAAAACAGTAAAACTTTGCTTATAAAATACAAATACTCTTTTACCTATGACCCCCATCCTAAATCCCTTGCAGAGAGATAACCATTATCATTAGTTTAGTGCAGCATATCCTGGGACTTCAGCTGTGAATTTATAGGGGTATATGTACCCACAGAAAATAGCTTTGTTTTCATTGTAGATGGGTTTTTAGGTAAATATCATTGTACAATTAATACTGATCTGCACTTGATTTTTCCCTCCCAACCATATTTTAAAAATATATCCATAATTGATGTGCATAGTTATTTAAAAATACAGAAAATATTCAAAGAAAAGGTTAATCATCCATATTTCCACCACCTATTGTTGTGACATTTTGTTTTCAATGCTTTGCCTATGTATATATTTTTTATTAAAGGTTTTTAGGTGAAATATGGGCATGTTGTCTTTTTAAAAATCCATTTCACCATTACAAATAAAAATCAAGCTTCCTTTCCAAGTATTCTCCTCCACCCATAATTATTACCATGAATTAGTTGTACATCCTTACAATACATTTCTTATACTTTCATGTGTTAAGTTGACATACACCCTAACATTTTGGCATTACCTATTTCTCTTCAATCCCTCCTCAACGGTTCATTTCTCCATCTACCCTTGAGGTAAGTATTGATATGCAAAGCTTTCATTGTAGTAGAAGAGTTTGTTACTTTTAGAAAAAAATTTCTTTTTTTAAATACAGGAGCAGCCACCTCTTGACACAGCTCAGGCATTGAGGGAGGTTCCCAGCTGAGTGAGGAAAACTTCCTGAGATTAACAGAAACTGATGTTATAGTAACAGGAGGGACATGATTTGTTTGTGAGTTGTGTGCTGGGGTTTTCCAAAAAGGAATAATCCCCATGATATTTTAAAATTATAAAATATAAAGAATAATGTGCTTAATCCCATTTTTCTAGGTATTGCCTGACCAGCCCAGAAAAAGGGTCTTTCGTAGCCCCCTTTACAACATGCATTCCTGCCCCCACAGCGGGACCCCTGCACTCTATGCTTGTAGCCAGAAGACTCAGGCTCAGACTCTCTGTAAATCAAGATTTGGTGAGAAACTGAATTGTTTTGACTCTGTTAACTGTTGGAGTTAGTCTCTAAGACTGACAGCCTAGGAGAAGAAGGGATTTGGGGTGGCCATATTCTGGGAAATGGTTTGGAGAAGTAAACAAAGCCAGTGTATGGGGGGAAAAAATAAAATAAAATGAATGAAAAGTTGAGTAGAATTGTTACAGGGCAGAGAGAGGGGCAGCCCAAACCCCACAAACCTGCCTATTTTAAATGGGTTCTGCCATCCGCTGCATCAACACAAAGCATATGAGACTTTAATGGGAAGGAACTTTAATACAACTAGGAAACAATACAGGAAAGGCAAAGAATCTAGTTTCTAAATCAAGCGCCCCAAGTTACCCGTCCCCTCGTGAGTAAGAGTCCACCCAAGCAGGATTGACCCAGAGCAAGGCCCCAAAGCCTGCCACAAGTCTAAAGCATCTTCCAGTGGGGACCCACAGAAAAGGGTCAGAAACAACCAGACAAGCCCGGAAGGAAAAGAGCAAAATCAAAATCAAGATAAAAGCTACCTGCCATGGTCACCTCCCCACGGGTCTCACCCACATCTGCGTCACCCAGTCCACGACCAAAAGACAAGCGCGGTTTCTTCACGTGTCTCTAGGCTCCATGCACCTCCTCCAGGTCTCCTCTGGCTCCATTCTGCTTCCTTCCTTAGTCTCCTCTGCAGCTTCTTCTCTACCTGCTCAGCTCCACCCTCCCTTGGGTGGGGCAGGGAACCTGGAACCTCCCCCTTTCCTGGGGACCACCCTGTTACAGAATCATGGAGAAATCTTGATGGGTTTCTGGCTCCCTGAGCAAAACCCCTCTTAGGGCCCAGGGGGATCCCCAGCCTTGTAGACACCCCTTTGTCATTATAACATTGTAATAAATGCACTTTTCTGCTAAAGCTAGTGCTACCTGGTAGCTGGTAATTGTAAGTTAGGAAACCTTGTATGGTAAGGGCTCAAATGAAGCCAGAAATATTTCTTCTAGAATATTCTGGAACAATTGGGCTCTGCACCTACTGAAACATCCTGAACAGGATATAACCAGGCAACCTGCAGGAATGCAGGAGGATGGTGGAAGGGCCTCCTCCTGGGTGTTTCTTCCAGTCCTGCAACCCCATTACACAACAGTCTTATAATAATCAGATGTGAAATTATTAAATGGGAGAAACAGAAGGTTGCACCAGATCTCCTGGACCCACAGCTTTCTGTAGTGGGAGGGAGGAAAATTTGAAACTGTGCCTGCTTCTCTGTGTGTCCACTTCTCTGGTGTGTCTACTAATAGGGCGGTGAAGGGGGGAAAGGAAGCACCACAGATCAAACACTGCCCGCTTGTCCCCCAGCGCCAGTCTAGTGTCTGTCAGATGACGGTGTCTATCTCCATATCCCAAGCCCTCAGCTGTGGGCGGTGAGGTTGGGCACAAGGGCTCAGTCCTGGGTCCTTTCCATTCTTCACTTCCTTGTCCTCATGAAAAGAAAATTAGCCCAAATCTAGTCTGAGACCAAAACTTTCTGCATGAACCGCCCTCTGAAAAGTGATTCACCTTCTTGATTAAGTGCTTCAGCAATTTTCTTATGAAATTTAATACCCCATTCAGTTAACTGTCATTTGTTGGACAACAGTGTAATGAACTTTAACAGAACATTCCTTTCCCACAATGATTTTTTTAACCCTTTCTTTGTCCTTTAAAATGTTTCTAACAGGGCCTCCCTGGTGGCACAAGGGGTTGAGCACTGCACACTATGAAGCAATCCGCAGCCTCTGCAGCATGAGCATCACAAGTTCTATCATCCGCACCACGCCCCCCAACCCCCTTGCTGGCCAGGGAGCAACCCACATGGCCCAGCAGACCATTCCTGTCTTGCCTGCTGCTCCACTCAGCAGTGTATTTCAGTCAGTCTGCCTGCTCTGTTCCCCACTCTGTCTCTAGAGAATCCTCTCACTGCCCCCCACATCTCGGACCTCTACCCCACTCTTGTATGCATATATAAATAAATCTTTAAAAAAATAAAATGTTTCTAACAGAGATCAGTAGAGAGGTCGTTCTTGTGCATGTGGGGGTAGGGAGAGGATGTATTGCTTGGGCAGGGCCAGAGGGGGGCTGTGGGGTGCAAATGTACTAAAATCCACCAAGCCCTATATTTATGTGTGCAATTTATTCTATGTGATACTGTAATAAAAAAATAAATGCTCCAATCAAATAAATCAACTATGAATCTTTGCATTAGCCTCCCAAATGGTTTAGCTGAGAGTGTCTAGCTTCATCACTAAAAGAATTACAGAACTTTGCTGTAAATCACTAACTTTACATTTGGAATAGGAACCAGTCTATGCCATCAAAAAACAATCTTCTTTCTGTCATTGTAGTGGGCATTTAGGGGCAAATGAACCTAACTATGTGTGTTCAACCCACCATACATAGTTATGCTAATGTTGAAATTTCTTAACATTAAAAAACCATTAGCTTGAAACCCAATGATCATACCAATAACCAAGATTTTCTTAAGCTTTGGATCACAAAGGATCTCTAACATGCATTATCTTCTTTGAGGCTGATCACAACTCTGAAATAGTACAGATTATTCTTTCTGTTGTATAGATTTAAAAAAATCAAGCAAAAAGAGAGGTTGGAATTTCGTCTAAAGGAAATGGACAACATATAAGTCAAATCTGGAAGGCCTTTTTAAATTTTGAAATTATTAGATATGTTAAAAATCAGGAAAACTTGCATTAAAAAGTCCAATTTTCAGCAGCTCCTCAAAAATCAAAAAATGGGGCAACACTGGACTCACACTCCCCATGGGTATAATCAGTTGGCGCTAAAACATGTCTGTCCCTTTCAGATGGAACCTGAGCCCTCCTGTTCACCTGGGCTCCAGCCAGCAACATTGTTCATTTGTTACCAGGAGACATTTGAATTTGAGACAGGAAAAGGAAACAACTTTATTTGGAAGGACAAAACAGAACTTAATACATATGCAAAAATAAATTTATTATTCAAACCACTTCCCTGGGTTCCACCCAGTGTCCACCCTGGCTGGGTTAAATGGTTACCTCAGAGACTAAAAATACAGGTAACAAGTCAAATCCACATAGAGATTATGTATATTTCATCTCTTTTCCCCCACAAAAGCTGCATATACTTGTGTAAACAATTGTTGATTTGTAAAACATGTCCAGTACTACAGACAAATGTTCTGGGATGAAAGATAAGGATACAGCAGCAACAAGGATAGTTTACCTGGATTGGATCATCAAGGTTGCATTTGATGGTAAATCCCCACAGTGCCTCAGGTGAGTGGGGGCAAAGGTATAATCAGAAGCACTGGGTTTAGGATTTTATTTTCTTCTCATGCCTATAAAGTCTACTTTTCCTTTCTTTCATTTATAGCAAAACTGAAAGTGACATTAAACTCAAGTTTAACTTTAAATTGTATTGCCAGTATCTCCTAAACACCAGCAAACCGCAGCTCCAGCATAGCTGCTAATGGGCAGTGTCACAGTGAAGGAATCTACCATTCAGAAACTTGGTTTCTCTATCTGTATTTGAAGGTACCAGATTATAATCCTGATTATAATCCTGATGTCTTCCCAGTTGGAGTGGGATGTCCTGGCGTTTTTGTTGTTGTTGTTATTATTTACATACTTAGCATTTGTGGAAAATGATGATGCCCTAGCCAGTTTTACAAGGCACAGAATTAGGTTTTGAAGATGGATTAAATTCTTCCACTGCATCAGAACAATATGAACATTTTGTAGATCATTTTATTCTCAAAGGTCTTTAAAGAAGCATTTGTTTATATATTATATATATATATACACACACATACACAAACACACACACACACACAGGCCCATCCCAGCCTCCTGGAGAAGAGGACTGCCTTGGACATTAAGGCCATGTAGATAGGTGGGTGGGTGGTGGGTTAGTGGATGAAATCACAGGTGTGAAGGTTCAAGCCAATCCAGGCAAGAGTGATTAATTGGTTGGCAGAATCTGAGCCACAGAGAGTGAGTACAATGACTAGGGCCAGCTCCATTTGTTCACACATTTATTCGGCCCTGCTCTGTGCCAAGGCACTGTTTGAGGTCTGGAGACTGACAATTTGAGCTGGCTCTTACCCCCAAGCATTTAATATCGTAGCTCTTGGTCAAGGTTTAGAGCAGGGGTCTGCAAACTACAGCCAGGGTAGGCTGGTGTTTTTGTAAATAAAGTTTTCTTGGAACACCAGCCAGACTCATTCATTTAGGTACTGCCCATGGTTCTTTTGCACTGCTAAGTCGAAGAGGCCATGGCCCTCATGACCCCCAAAGCCTAAAACATTTACTATCTGGACCTTACAAAAAAAAAGAAATATGCTCATCCCTTTGTTAGAGAAAAGCATTGACATGTAACTAAGAAATGAGACAGGTGCTAGGAAACATAAATTATGTGCCTAACAAAGCCTCAGACAGGAGGCTGGCTGAATTAACAACAATGAAATCATGAATTATCTGAGGCTTGATTCCTTTGAAGAGATAGTCACAACAAAATTGCTTCTAACTTACATTTAACATATGCAATTTGACTTATATGCACTGTTTTAAAACACACAAAAAACTTAATGTAAGCCAAATACTTGATCTGGTGCAGAATAAAAAAAGAGTGATCAGCTGTGATATTCGCTGTGATAAGTCCACATACACACATACACCCTACAAAAGCGATATTATAATTTACAGGTGGGTCTCGATTCTGCTTGATTTTCCCTTTAGGGAACCCTCTTAACTTTGGAACCTAATGCTTGTGACTCCACAGGAATTAATATTAAAATGTGGAAGGACCTGTTTCAATAAACAGATAAGAATGTTTTATGAACAAACAATTATAAACCAGAGACATCCTGCAGGGAGGAGGAGGGAGAGGGATCAGAGGGAGGTAAGAAGGAGAGCAGAGGACTGTGTTGATGGTGCACGGGTGCCTTGGGGAAGGAAATTCTATGGGGACTCAATCTGAGGATGTTGGGGGAAGCAAATATTGTTTAAAAATAAAAAATTAAAAAAAGAATGTTTTATGTTTTGATTTTTAAACAAAGAGACTGCTTTGGCACTTGGGGTTGATCAAAGCAGTTTCTTATTTGAAACAACAATTGAAATCATACTACTATTAAACCTGAATTCCTTTTATAGGGAAAGCTCATCAAGTACAGATAACCATAGCTTAGCCCTGGGGAAACTACTGGAATTAATGAGTGTTTATAGTTTTTGTCCTCTCATTCTCAAACAACTGAGACAAATCTCAAGAGGCTGCTGCTGAGAGCATCTTGTCTGCATAGAACAAGAAAAAGCAGTCTTGTTTCAAGCAGAGGATGCCAAGGATGGGAGCTTGGAAGCAGATGCTGCCTAAGAACATTCGATGCTAAGAAAACAAGGAGGAAAACTGTACAAGGGGTACTTCAGTCACATTGTGGATGATGCCAATGAAATGCAGAGCACAAATTTGCCTTGACAAAAGGCTCTGACACTCCAAGTCATTGTCCCTCCGTGCAAGGAAATTTTCAGGGGCACCCACTTCCACACTAGCTGATGGAGGAGTCAGAGGTAGTAAATGTGTGCATACAAAAATCAAACCTGTTTTGTAAAGCCCTCTGTAGAAAGCATGCCTTCAAACAGAATTTCGCTATATGCCAGAAGTTCAGTTGCATTTTGGGAAGACTAGCAAACAGGCAGTGTGCAGTGTGTAGGCCCATCCCCACGGAGAGGGGCTTGGGTACTCGCCATCTTGGGTCCATGGGAAAAAATGCCCTTCACTCTCACACAGGCTCTGAGGAGGAAAGCTTTGCACAGTTGTGACATGACACACCCCCCAGAAAGCTGGGCATTCTCTGTTCCCCTTCCTGACTTGGGAAACACAAGCCCCCATGGGCTGCAGATTTCAGTCCAGTCTGAAAAGATTGGTGGGCAAAGCCCTCATCGTTTTCATGAGAGGCAAAAAAGCATGTCCTTACATCTCATGAAGGAAATCAAAAGAACATCAAGATGACATGTTGGTTCATTAGGCTGCTTTTTCAATCCTCCCTTCCCCAAAATGCTGCTCTAGGGGGCAGCTCACAATGTCCCTGCTGGTGGCAAATAGTCAAAGAAAAGGAATACAAACAGTTGACTTACCCACACTAAAAATACTTGCCCTCCCCCCAAACTAAGTAAGTAAATTAAGTCTTTTTTCCCACCCTCCTAGCCCTTTTGCTCAGGCCTATGAGTTTTGGGCAAGCTACTCCTCCATCTGGGCCCAGGCCTCCTCCGCCTTCTCGTAGTACTGGTTGGCCAGTCGGCCCTTCATGGCTTCCATGGCTGCCTCGGCCGCCTGGGTGTACAAGTCACCTGGAAGAGAGCAAAGGGGGCACAGAGTGACGAACCGCCTGCTGTTCTGGCTGGTCAGGTGTCCCTCACCCCTCCCTGGGAATGGCATCCTGAGCTTCCTTTAAGAAGCCTACCACTGAGGCCTCCCTGGTGGCGCAGGGTTAAAGACACAGCACTATCAAGATATCGCCAGCCACTGCAGCAGGAGTTCCATCCCTGGCCAGGGAGGTGGCACACATAGCACAGCAGACCTCTCCTGTCTCCCCCGCTGCTCCCCTCAGCAGTGAATTTCAGTGGATCCGCCTGTTCTGTTCCCCACTGTCTCTGGTGAATCCTCTCACCCCCTGCACCTCTGGCCTACACCCCAGTTCTTGTATGCATAAATAAACCTTTCAAAAAAATTTTTAAATAAATAAAGCCCCCCGAATATCTATCCATTAATTAAAACTCTTCATCTGCACACCAGTCCATAAAGGCCCCTGCTAAGCCAGCTCCACATGGGTATCCAGCCTCACCACACGCAGAGCCCCAGCAGTACCCGAAGGAGAGACTTAACCACATAATCCCCAGTGGACGGGAATTACAGCCCTCCCTGTAACACATGTCCTCCCCCCACTGTCTTCCAGAGACAGATCTGTGGGCTCTACCTGATCTCTGGGGCTGCTTCTCCAGTCCGTAGCCGCCCGTGAACAGCATCTCTGCCTCCCGGGCCAGCAGCGCATACCGGGGTTCGTCCTGCATGCCGTCATACTCTCCGCCTTCGTCACAGTCTGTGGTCTCCAGGGCGGTGTTATACCAGCGCAGGGCCTCCTGCCAGTCTTGGGACCTACCAGGAGATGCAGAGTGAAAAAGGGATGTTGCCATGGCAACAGGGCAGGAGGGGCAAGTCAGGGATCCCAGCTGGGCCATCCCTTATACTTCACAACCCACAGCACCCAATGCCTTTCCAGCTAAGAGACATCAATCACCATTAGTTTATGTATTTATTAAGATGGCAGCCAAATAGTTTTCCCTAACAAAATCAGTATATTGCATAATGTCCCAACAGACAGAAGTAGTATATCCTGAAGACGTGGGGCATTTCTCTAGTAGGTGTAAAATCCTCCCTTGTTCCTCAACTCTGCAGTGAATGGCCAGATCATCAGGGTATATACAGCTTCCAAGCAAATATGCAGCACACAAAATATACAGCAAACAGGGCAGCAGGCTCTTCTATGATTGTACTAAGCTCAATGTGAGTTACTTAGTTACTAAGTGAGTAACTATGTATAGGACATCAGGAAAGAGCAAAGAGCTACAGGTAAGGCTGTGGGTTTCATTAGATATTCTAGGAGCAAGAGCTAGAAATGACTTTGGGCCCCAGATGCCCACCCTGCTTATGTCAAAGAGACATATTGGTTCTTTCATTCAAACAACTACTAAGCCAGGGGCTGCACTAAACACTGGGGTTGCAGAGATATGGAGACCTGACTCCTGTTCTCGGCAAGATAAAATCACAGATAGGAAAGGGTGGTCTGAATATAAGGGAACATCACTATTGCACAGAAGGTAACTGATTCAATTTTGGACCACATGGTATATAACACAGGTAGGATGTCAATATCCAGATGTTTTAGACCCTGAGAGCTTGATATGATACAGACACAATCCTCACTTGCCTTGAACCCAGTGGAAAGATGAGACCTTGACTGAAAGACAAAGACTGCTAAGTTGCTCCCACCCTAGAGTACATGATAGCTGTGTCCACCCTGGGCCCTTCCAGAAAGCCAGAGGCTCCTGAGGAAGCAGGGATGGCTGAATTCCAAGGGGAGCCCCAGAGGGTGAGCAATGGGGCCCCCACATAATCCCTACTCCTGGATTTCTAGGACCTCCCACTGGCTAAGCCAAGGAGGTGAGATGATGCTGCCACCCTCCTTCCTAGCACTACAAAAACCTGGCATCTTGGCCAGAAGGGTAAGTGGAAAAGTGTTGGCACGTGCAGAGTCGGAGCTTCTAGGAGTCTCAGAGCCATTAGGAAAAAATCACACCAGGCTTAAACTCATCCCCAAAGCTTCCTTTCTTTCCTTCATCTCAGATGTGGAAATAAAAGTAGGAAAAGAACATTAAAATCACCCATAATCCTAACACCTAGGATCAGCCTCTCTGGGCTTGATGCTGCATGTCCTTACAGGTTTTTCTCAGGCAAATCTTCACATGGAATGGCTACGATGCCTGCCATGTAGCGCATGTCTAGATGCCAGGTGCTGAGAATTATAGGCATCGTCTCATTTACCCTTCACGCAATACAAGGACGCAGGTTCAATCATTATTTCCACTTTACACAATGAAGACATTGAGGTCAGGGAGGACAGATAACTTGCCCAAGGTCACTGGATGGGAAGTGGAGAGAGCAGAGCCTGGAAGCAGGTCTGTCCTGATCCCTGAGGGGAAGCTCCCACCTCCAGCCCGGTTCCCACCAGCTCCACCTGACAACATACCTGTCTGGGCTGAGGTTCTGGCCCGTGTCGAAAGCTCGTGCCACCAGGATCATAGACTGTCTGTCACCAGCCTCGGCTGCTTTCAGTAAATAATTGAACCCTTTGGTCTTATTCTCTTCTGTCTCCTGCCAGAACAAACAGAAGACGGGAGAGAAAAGGAGATGAGGCTTGCACTGGAGAGGCTGCTAGGATTTCATGGAGCAAAATCCTGTTTCCTGAACTGGTTCGAGAGTTCTGGGCTGGGAATACTGTGTCTCAGATTCACATCATGAGAAAAAGAACAGGGGAAGATCCCCTGCCAGGGGCTCGGGATGGTTTCCATCAAACTGAACTCACTCTTGCTCACTCTCCTCTATCTGCTCTGATTCCTCAGAGAAAACACATCACCTCCAGCCTCCAATAGGCGCCCTGCTTCCACTTCTTTTTTTTCCTAAGCAGCTTTATTGGGATTTTAAATGTCTATCATACAATGTACCCACTTAAAGTGTACAATTCAGTGGTGTGGGGGTAGAGTCACAGAATGAGCAGCCATCACCATAAGCGATTTCAGAATGTTTTCATTCATCCAAAAAGAAACCAAAGCTCATAAGCCTTAGCTGTAACCTCCCAATGGCCCAGCCCACCCTGTCTTTGGCAGCCACCGAATCTACTCTCTGTCTCTAGACATTTCCCTATTCTGGAAATTTTTGTCTCAATGCACTCATCATTGCATTGTCCACTCATGTTGCAGCATATGCTAGTACTTCATTCTTTGTATGGTAAAATATTGCATCATATGGAGACATTTAATTATCCATTTGATGAGCATTTGGGCTGTTTTCACTTTTTGACTATTACTATGTCTGTCTTATTCGCTGTCAAGAGTAGGAACTTGGGAGCTCAAAAAAATATCGTGAATGAATGAATGTCTCAGATAACAGAAAAAGGCCCCAAGGCTGGGGGCTCTGGAGAGAGTGGAAGAAAATGAGCTCATGGTGGCTTCTCGGGGCATGTGGTTGTCGTTTTCCTTGTTGAGTCCCCAGCCTGGCCTGCAAACACTGCCTGCCCCATCCTAGCTGCACACTCCAGCCAGCCACACACTCCCGTTAGGACAGCGCTGGAGACACTCTGCGAAAAGCCTCAGCTGCCTGCAGATGAGGAAACTGAAATCACTCCTATAATAAATCGCTTTACAATATTGCCAGGGTGCAGCTGGTGGAAACAGCCTGAGGTCACAAGGAGAGTTACCAGGAAGTCTCAGAGAAAGAGAGAGAGAAAGAGAGAAATCCCCAGTCTGCACCCTTCCCCAACCTTGGGCCACAAATTCCTTTATTCAGGCCTCAAGCCCCAGAGTGTACCCTGTGGCAAATGCATAACACGCCTCAGCTGGCTCTCTAGGCGGCCGAGAACCCTGTGAAATTTTCTGGAATTTTGCAAACATTTGTAAAACACAGCCATTGTTAAGAATGAAAATATATACACTTACAATTTAACAAATGATATTAAAAGCAAAGGTAACAAATACAAGTCATCACTTCCTAGTGACTTTGCTATGTTTCCCTATTATCTATGCTCTTGAGATTGCTTATATCTTTTGCAGAGCTTTTCAACCTCGACATATTGACATTTTGGACCAGACAATCCCCTGTTGTCTGGCTGCCCTGTTCATGGTAGGATGTTAGCAGATCTGGCCTCTCCCCACCTGATACCAGTCTCACCCCCAGAATTGTGACAACCAAAAATGTCCATTGCCAAGTGCCCCTTGAAAGACAGGGCAAAGTGAAAGGTTGAGAAGCACTGGTCTGTGGAATCTCTATCGGGATCACCCTACCATGATGAGACTTGTGTCCAGTGATGGCATCTTAGTGCCACAAAATTGGTCATGGTTGGAGCGTCCACACCACAGAAAAGTGGAAAATTCCACAGATGGGAGTATGACTTTTTTTTATTGTGTAGATTGAGAAAAAGGAATGAAAAAATATTAATAATGTGGATGCAAGTGAAAGGTACGTGGTATCTATAGCTGTGACATTGCGACCAGCACAGGAAATTGAGAATACAGTCTTCAGTATTCATATCTTCAGGATAAAAGATCGTTTAATATTTCAGCATTATCTGATTCAGCAAAGACGCAGCTCACATCAGGGGCAAATAAATGAGGTGCCAGCTTTGACAAAGGTCTCCCTTATTTCACTTTCATCTTAGCGAAGTAAGTGAGAGCATTAACCAACATTTATATCAGTTTCTCTCCTCCAGCAGTTGCAGCCAGAGGTGGGCTGCAGATCTAAGAGTCCCACAAAAATTAGCAAAAGCCCTCTGTGAGGATCAACTATCCTATGTCTGCAGTAGACAGTATTTCTATTGTTGCCTGTAAATTATATGCTCCACACTCTTTCTATCAGTGAAATGTATAATGAACTCACACACACGTGCACACAACCCGTCCCCACCCTGAGGTCTAGGCGTTAGACATTTGCCAACACCCCCCTGGCTGAAGGCGATATGACACTCACTTCCCACTACCCTGGCTGACTAGCATGGAGCCTTTCTTCTCATTTAGTTACTGCTTTATTCATCTGGCCCTCAAAAGGACACGAGCACCTGCCCTGTCCAGGCTGTGTTCCAGCCCCTAGGAATACAGCTGGACTGACCATCAGGAGGTGCCCCTGGGAACTCCTTCCTCCCTTGTTTCCACCAGCATCTTCTGCTTCTCCATCTTACCATGTCATCAGTTGCCTAGAAATGTGTCTGCCACCTTCCACTCATTGCACAAGGGCGGAGAGCACATCTACCAGTCTCAGCTAACTCGTAGGTGCCAGGCCCCAAACTGATGTTCAGGAAATTTCTGTGGTGGGCAGACACCTCCAGGACAGGGAGGGTGGCGCTTGACTGAGGCCCTACCCCCTTACCTTCAGAGATACGTCGGGCAGGAGGTGGTGGGGCAGCTGCAAGCACAAGAGGCCCAGGCCCACGATGGCCTCCAGCTCGCCCAGGTCGGCGGCCTGCTCCAGGTGGAAGACAGCCGCCTCGCGGTCCCACTGCTCATCCTTCTGGCAGAAGCGCCCGCCCTCGTGGTAGCGCACCATGGCCAGATGGACCTGCCACACAGACCTGGGTTTCGGCCTGCTGGGCTGTCGGGAGTGGGGGTGGCAGGTGCACCCCAGCGCTGCCCAGCCAGCCCGCGGGAGGAAGTGGTTAGTGAGGAGAGGGTGAGGGAGGTGCTGAAGTGGCCACCATACCTTCCCCAAAATGGACTTCCCGATTTTCTTTTCAAGGTCCAGAGAGTTAAGCCTTTGCACTTCCAGGGCCACAGCTGAAGGCCTTGGCAGGCGCCAGCGGGAGGAGTTGAAGAGATTCCATTTCTCCACACCGGCCTGCAGGGAGAGCACGGATGTGGTAGGCTTTGCAGGGGCAGCTGCTCCCACCACACCTGCCCCAGAAGGCCCCTTGGGGGCAGGACCAAGAAGAATAAATCCTCCTGATGTCAAATTTTTTGGACAAACAAAGCTCCATTTCTTATCACTGAAAGTCTACCAGCTCGTGAGCACTGAGGGGACAGTACAGCAGCAGGACATGGTGGCCACCACGGAGGACTATAGCAGGTTCCAGGAGCATTTTTTCCTCATTTACCAGTCTGGGCCTGATTGGACTCTAAGTTGCCCCTTCTCAGGGCCCCATACAAGGCACCAGAAGAGTCTGACCTCAGACTTTGCAGCAAATCTACTTTGCTTTCCTCTGTGCATTAACACAACTCCGGGGGCAACATCCACAGGGCAGCTGTGTGTGCACATGTGTATGCATGTGCATGAGTGTGTGTGCTCTTGTGTGCATGGATGCTGAATGTCCTATAGTGCACCCGGCAGCCTCCACAACAAAGAGTGACCCAGTCCCTGGGTGACCGACCCAGACCTTGACCCTTCAGGGAAATACTAGGTGGTAAATAAATACTGTGTGATAAGAAATCTGTTCCTGAAGGAGCAAGTCTCCAGCTGGGGTGATCAGGTGAGGCCCTGAGGAGGGGCCACAGGGGGTTCTGTCCAGGAGAGCAAGAGGGATTTGAGAAGTTGTGACTAGACAGTAAGAGGGACACTGCAGGTGAGAGAGACTTGCCTCAGCAAAGGCTGGAAGGTGAGAGGTTCCACATATGACTCAGAGTGAGCTAGAGAGGAGCTCTGAGGCCTGGTCTCCCCCCCGCCCTGCCTGAGGATTGCAATCACCTGAGTTGCCCCTCAGAATACCAGCCAGGTAACCTCAGTAAAAAAAAAAAAAAAAGCTGCAGAAATAATATATACATCTAAAAGAAAGAAAGGAATAAGAGCCAGTAACTTGGGGAGTTGCTAAGACCCCTGATTTCTCAAACAATAAACCTGTCTTTCTGGGTGGCTGCAAGAGAATGTGAATTCATACAGTAAGGGGCCTCCACGCCAGCACTGTCACCTGTGGGCTGTGCCTGCTGGAATTTCCCTCCAGGGTGGGGCTATCCTGGTCCTGATGCCCCCTCCCCACACCTCACCCCTACCTCAGGGTCCTGCCCAGGGCAGAAGCTCAAAAAGCATTTGCAAAGGGTCTAGGGCACTGGCTCTTTCACAGTCTTCCTTTAGAGATGTGTGAGGCACCTGGCGGGCAGCCCTGACAACAGGGAGAATAAACACCCAGGAAGGGTGAGCTCACAGCCACGACAAGGATTTCTTGGGGTACCTTACCTGTCCAGAGCTGCCCAGGCTGTCTTCATCAGACTCGTACCTCCGATGTCCATTTGAGTGGTCCTGATAGAGGCAGAGCAGAGTGGTCCAAAGAGCAGCCCTCCTCCCAAAAACAGATCCTCCCAGATCCTCCTCCTGGGGATCCGGTTCAGCCCTCCCAGGGGGCCCTCATCCTAGGGGAACCAACCTGGCACCCCCAGGGGAGGGGATCCGCCCACCCAGGAAGCTGGAACCCTGTCTGCCAGGCAGAGAGGATGCTGGTAACAGGTGTGATGGGCTAGTGTGCCTCGGCCTCTGTCACTCTCCCCGTGTGCACAGGTGGGGCTCCCGGGAAGGTGAGGATCTGGCACAGGGCCTGGGACTTGTCCTTTCTGCAGTCAGAGCTCCCACTGCCTGTGAGACCCAGCGCTCCCCACACCCCTGCCAACTGGCCTTGGCACTGAGGCTCAGATTTGATACAGGAGGCCTTCTAAGTGGCTGACACCTCCCAGCTACCTGTGGTAACCCCTCACCAGGATGTGGCCAGGAAGATTCCTGGGGAACCCATCCTCTGGGGTCTCCCTGGGGACTGCCAGAATCCTGTGCCTTTGGGTCCAGGAGCTCCCACCTCACCAGCACCATTGGCCTCTGGGCCAACATCCCCTCTGCTTAGCGACCAGAAGCCCCAGCTTCGCCCTGAGCTATATCCACCACTTCTAACCTTGGGCCTAATCCCCCATACTCGCCCTCTTATAAGCCACAGTTCCCTGCACTTAGCTTTGTCTGAAATGGCATTATTCATTAATTTCCTTGTTATGATCTCACCACCCACCCACACGTTGCCCCACCCCCTTCTCTCTGATAATGAGGGGAAGGGCATTCAATTCCCATTTCACGTAGGGGGGCTCCCTACGTGTTCTCGGGAGTCTGGGTCGTCCAATTCAGTCCTCTTCTCACTGGGGTATCCACTGTCTCCACTGTTCTCAGAGTCCTGTGGAGAGAAGATGGTCCTAGGGTCTCAGTGTTCCCCTGAGTACCTGGTGGTCGTGACACTGAGACAGCACAGCCATTGTGTCCTCTCCTTAGTCCCCTCACTTCCCTCCTGCCTTGCTGGTTGGGTGACAGGGAGCAGTAGGAAGTAGTGGTGAGGAGCTTGGGCACTGGAGTCCGACTACCTGGGCTCAAATCCTAGCTTTGTGACTTGCCAGCTGTGACCTTGGGCACTTGCTTAACCTCACAGCTTTGGCTTCTTAGGGGACTCACTCCAGCCCAACTCAGAGGGCTGAGGACGAGGCCAGGGGTCACCTGAGCATGCATTGTGCTGAATGCTGTTATGAAGAGTGATGCACCACTTTCATAGGCAAGAAAAAAAGGCTGGTTTAGGGGATGTGATTCATGGACAAAAGTCACATGGGTGACCGCATATTCACTCCAATTCTGCCCTCTGCCAAAGCAGAGGCACCGGCAGAGGGCACTGGACATAGTCTTTACTCTTCTAGATGGATGTTCAGCTCTGAAAGGAGATCTGGGATCACTTAGAAGCTCAGCAATTGATACAGCCTTGAGTGCTGGCACATCTGCATGTCAGTTATATCACTATTCGGTTAACACTGCCCGCCCCCCTTATTTATTTTACTAAGAAGTATTTCAAACACCCATATCAAATTGTGAGAATACAAAAAATGAACTTGGGTGCCCCTACCACCCAGTTCTGGGCCCCCATGACTTCAGTTTTTTTCTCTTTTATATAGTGCTTAGATGTTTTGGGATTTTTTAAATATTTTTATTTTTAAAGGAATTAAAACCCTGCTGTCAAAATTCAGACCCCCTGTGTACCTCCCCCTCCAGCTAAAACCACTTTTGTGAATTCATACTTCTCATTATTTTTCTTTACATAAACCATTACTATTTTACTTAAGTAACTATGTATTTTTTCTTGTGTAGAAGAACTGGGGTACAGGCCAGAGGTTTGGGGTGGGTGGGTAAAAGGATTCACCAGAGACAGAGCGGGGAACAGAACAGGTGGATCTACTGAAATCCACTGCTGAGGGGAGCAGCAGGTGAGACAGGTCTGCTGCACCATGTGGGTCACCACCCTGGCCAGGGATTGAACTCTAGCTGTAGCAGTGATAACTATATTTTTCAAGAAGCCTAATGTCACCAACAGAATGTAAAACCCTGATCATGTTCTTGACAGATGGGAGTTACATAAACACACTGAGTGATCCCTCTACCCCAGGAGCTGCCTTTGTTTCTAGAAGCCCTACAGACTTCCCTCCCACTGCCTTCCCCACAGCCTTTGCTTTATGTGATCTGAAAGGCTGTTCTTTTTTTTTTTTAATATTTCAATTTTTAAATGAAGTATAATTTACAGACAACCAAATAGAAGGGTTCAATGTGTTGAGTGAAGGCTGTTTTTGAGATGGGATAAGAGTTCTTATCTGGAAGCAGCCAATTTCTTGCATACACAAACACAACACCCCCCCCTCCCCCTGCCCCGGCTCACCCACCCCACCCCTAATTCCAAGCCCCTGCTTAGCCCATGACCTTTGGAGTCACTCCCACACTGAGTACGCTGAGTTTTATTCAAACCCCAGCTCTGCACTTCCCAGCTCTGGGACCCCAGGCGAGGCAGCCACCCCCTCCAAGCCTCAGTTTACTCATCTGAGAAATGGTGAGAAGACCTACCTCCAGGTGGGGACTGTAAAGCAGCCAAACACAGCAATAGAGGGTGGTTGAGGCTGGGCAGCCTGGGTTTGACCCCTGGCTCCATCACTGAGTGAGTGACTTTCCCTGTCTGTGCCTGTTTCCCCGTAAATCAGGGCTAATGAGGTACTACCCAACCAGCTGCTACCACTGGGGCTAAGATGCAGTGGTGACAAACAAAGGTAGTCTATACAGATATTGATTTAAAAGGCTATATATCTGAAACCTATTCTAATGTTATAATCCAATATTAAATCAATTTGAAAAAGAAAAAAGAGCAGGTGGTTGAGGGATGGGTGACAGCGAGACTTCTCACTGTGCTAATCTTGGGTATCTTTTCCTTTGGAGCCATGAGCATGTATGATCTATTCTAAAATTCTATAATTTATTCTAATTCTCGATTAAATCTATTCTAAAGGGAATAAGAAATAGCTACCTCATAGGGCATGTAAAGATGAAATGAGAATAGCTGGGGCCTCCCTGGTGGCACAGGGATTGAAGACAGTGCTATCAAGCTGTCCACAGCCACTGCAGCATGAGTTTGATCTCCAGCTGGCCAGGGAGCTACCCACATGGCACAGCAGACCTCTCCTGTCTCACCCACTGCTCCTCTTAGCAGCATATTTCAGTAGATCCACCTGTTCTGTTCCCCACTCTGTCTCTGGTGAATCTTCTCACCCCCTGCACCTCTGGCCTGTACCCCAGTTCTTGTATGCATAAATAAATAAATCTTAAAAAAAAAAAAAAAAACGAGAATAGCTATCAAGCCCTTAAACAATGTCTGCCCATAGCAACAATGTCACTAGCTGTTCTTTCATCTATGTTTTCCATGCAAGAACTCTGAAAAGCAGGCAAGAGTGAACTGCAACCTTTGAAGTAATCTGAGGGTGCAGCTCAGATACCAGCAGCATGGTATTTTTGCAAAATCTGGGTTTGAACCCTGGCTCCATCACAGAAAGACTAAGCACGTGGCTTAATATTTCTGTCCAAAAAAATTTTAATTTGATACCATTTAATTTTTAATTTTTTTAATTTTTAATTTTTAATTTGATACCATAATGTATTTGTCTGAATGCAAACATGATGTCTTCAGTTTCTTACCACTGAGTTACCCAGAGGCTGCAGGAAACCTGTCCTGTTTATCTCACCTGGGAAGATCACAGCTGACTGTGCTGTAAGTGATACATCTGACACCCAGCACAGCCCCTCCAGCCCAGACAGTGTCCACACCCCTGTGGCCAAACCACCCCAGGGCCCAGCCCAGCATTTACCAGGAGGTTGCATAGTCTGGATTCCCTCTTCTCTATCTTCTAAGGATCGAAATGGATCCAGAGGAAACTTCTGCTTTGGGCAGGAGGCTGTGATTCATCTGCAGCCCTGGAGCACCCACCTCTGGATCTGAAGATTCACCCTCAGTGCCCACTGGGAGTGAGTCTCTCCTCCCAGCCCTGCTCCCCCATATCCCTCTCCACTCACCCGGTGGTTGTCCAGATGGTCGTGGTCTCGGGGTGCTATGTTGTCCATGTCGCCGAAAGCAGGCCAATCTGGGCAGGGAGAAAATGTAGACAATGAGCTGGTTCCACTGCTGGAATAGCTCCCAAGGCCACGTACAGCCTAGAGCTGCCTGCACCTGCCACTGAGCCTTTTTTATTTTATATTTTTAAAGGAAAGGGCAAAAACGGGAGAATACTGTGTGCACCTGGGGGCTACAGGTCTTCCTCGAAAACACCCTCCACCACGTCTGCCCTGGCTGGCTGTGGGGCTCTGAGCAAGCAGCTTGATGGCTGTATCATCCAGGTACATGTGTGTGATATGTTTTATCAGCACATATGCCTGCCCCCGGGTCAGCCCTCCAGGAGGCGTGGTGGTAAAGGAAGAACAGCCATTTGTACAAGAACCCAAAGAGTTGCTATAAGTGAAACCTGGGATGGCTTAGAACCAGCCGTCTCCTGTGGTTCCCATTTGACTCCTGCCTCGAGCTCCCACGAGCCAAATCCAGCTCATCTTCTGGGCTGGGTTGATTTAGATTTTGGCTTTTTAAGAATGTTTTTTACAACCATTCGAGTTTTGCCGGGGAGGGGGGAGAGAAGAAGATTCAGTAACATGTGAAAATCAGATGAATGCTATAATCCAATGCCCATGGAGTTTTCCGGAACATCACAGTCATCCATTTAGGTATGATCTACGGCTGCGTGCAGGCCAGCCTGAAATACTGGCTCTTGGCCCTTTGAGAAAAAGTTCGTTGACTCCTACTCCAGACCATAGCTGAGCCTTCCAGAGGTGTCTGGACAACTTCTTTAACACCTGACACCAAAATCCTTCCCTTCTGCTCCCCCCATGGGCTTTCCCAGCTGAACAGTCACCTCATCCTTTGAGGTTTTTAGGCCAAAACCTTGGAGTCTGCCTTACCTCCCCCCTTAGTCTGCAGATGCCATAGCCACATCATCAGCAAACTGTCACTTTAACTTTGGAAATGATCATTTTTTTCCCCTCTGGGATGTAATCAACTTCCTACAGTTGAACAGTCCTCAGATGCCTGCCTAGTTGACCATGACAGCCTATTTGCTTGAGATACTACACGTCTTATTTGTTAGTGTCTTGTTGAGAATTTCTGCATTGGAGAGATCTAAGTGAGGTTTGAATGTGGTTTTATTTTTTGATGCCTTGTCAAATTTTGGTATAAAATTTTTGCTAGAAATGTTACCCTGCTTTCTACAATAGGGTTTGTGTGTGTGTGTGGGGGGGGGGAGTTAGAATTTAAGCACTTATCATGTAGGATCCTTAGCCTAATAAGGGCAATGTAAGAATGTTTACTTAATGGGCCTGCTCACACTATTAGCGGACCAATATTACCTCTGCTTGCCAGAAAATCAGGGTATCATATACAATGTCCATTGGATTCAGAATATTCAGAATATATTGTTTTTCAAGTGCATCCCCTTGACAACTCTTCCTTTATAGGGGTTGTTTTTATAGCATTTGGATGACCTGAGTCTTGAAAGTCTGTTAAAGGAACTCCCCAACACAGCTACCTGGGCCATGCATCTTTTTAGTTTGTGTCTGACTTTCTAACCTAAGGGCAAGTCTACCTGGTGCCCGTCCTCTCTAATCACGACCAGGGGCCAGCCCATCACTCACGGAGGTGGTCCAGCTTGTGGCTGTGTGGCGTGGCTGAGGCCGGGGAGGAAGGGAGTGAGTCAAAGGTCATGTCACTCATGTTCTCATCTCCAGAGTTCTCTGACAGGCGGCGGAGCAGAGGGGGGCGGCTCCCAGAAAGGGTCCTGACTCGGGGGCTCCCACACTTTTCTTCTGTCCCCCTCAAGATGGTCTTGGCTGATTGCTGGGGAGAGTAACAGGAACACTCAGGTCATACAGCACCCTCTGGGGAACAAGGAGAACTCTTCCTGTTGTTTGCTGTTGCCCCCAGATTGGAGGCTCTTTCAGCCATAGCTCTGATATACATGCCTGTTTAGGGACTGGCAGAAAATCTAAAAATAGTCAGGGAGATTAACCCAAAGGCCTCTAAGAAGGGCCTGGCAGCTAGCACTCCCTGAAGAGCTTTGCAGTCCTGAGCTAGGGAATACATGTCCTTGTACCGAGAATCCCAGCCTGGTCTTTGCCAAATTCTCTTGTATCTGGTCCACATAGTGAGAGTGGGGTAGGCACATCCTGGACCCAGCAAGGTGCCCGGAGAGCCAGGACCAACTCTAGTCCAGCCACCGATCAACACACCAAACAAACACACGCAAACACACACCTCATGCACCTTTCTTGCTACCTCTGCACACCTGGTCTCCTCACTTAGGTCAAAACTGGGCCCAAATCAAGCAGATCCTAGGTGCTCTATTAGTGGGATCACTTGGGAGGGCTTCGAGCACTGACTTGGGAGGAGGGGGGCTCTGATGGGGCTGAGATCCTCGCAGGAAGCAGGGCTGGTCCTGGCAGCAGCTGGGCCATGCAGCCCAAGCAGGTCCACGCCGGCACCTACCAGCAGCTTGGTGTTCTGATTCACTGCATCCCTTTCTCTTGGTGAGAGGTCGAAGGGAGCCAGGCCCATGCTCTTGCAGATGCGGTTGCAGGCGTGAGAGTAGAAAAAGAGCGCCATCCCCCGGACACCTGTGGACAGGGCAGCAGCGTCTGGGACTTTGCTTAGTGATGGGGCAAGCAGTGCCTGGCACCACAAATGTGGCAGGAGCAGGCATAAAACGGGCACAAGTGGTGGGGTGAGATGTCCCAAGGGCCCATCTCTATGATTTGGGGGGCATGACATATCCTCTGGGCTTATTTTCTTGGCTGTACAAAGAACTTGGCAATCAGGGAGGAGAGGTGCAGAATCCACAGCCAGCTTCCCCGCCTACCAAGGTTGCCATCTCCGAAGTCAGTGCCCGTCTCGGTGTGGATCTGCGGGTCGGTGTAGAGGTCCCCCACGCCCTGGATGTCTACCACTATCAGCTGATGGCCGGAGCGCTCAAATGTAAAGTGGCTGAAGGCCTGTGGGGATGGGAAGGCAAAGGTGGCTGCAAGGGAGCAGGTAGCGGGCAGTGTGGGCACTGGCTGGGCACTGCTCTGAGAGGCAGCCACACCCCAGCTCTGCCTGTGTGGGGGCCTTTTTCTGCAAACAGCTGGACAGAGAAAATGACAAAGGAAGGGCCCTGAGACTGGATGGGGTGATGGGTGTCCCGTTACAGGATCTTCTTCAGTAGTTCCACGCAGTGGGGGTGTGGCCCCCACACCCACAGGACCCTCCCCTCCAGGGGCCTCACCTGCGGCGTCAGGCGCATGTTGTCATCACGGACAAAGCCCGAGTTGGAGTTGTACTTGATGTACTTGCCCTCGATGTAGTGCTCCAGGTGGAAGAGGGGCTTGCCCGGCCGCTCCTTCAGCTCCACCACGCACATCTGCATGATGTCCACCTGGTGGGGGCGGGGGTCAGGCGGAGGCAGCGCCCAGCCAGCACCCTCCTCTGGTGAGTGGCCAGAGCAGAGGGTTTGGGTGCCAGACTGGGGTCCCCTCCTGGCCCCATCACTTTCTAGCTCTCTGTGGCAGAAACTGCTGATCGCCCCCAGAATCCTCTTTTTCTTTGAGAATGAAAATCCCTGCTGTGGTCTAAATGTGTCCCTCCCCAGATTCACTCTCTGGAATCTTAACCCTCAGAGGTCATGGTATGAGGAGGTGGGAACTTGGGAGGTGATTATGTCTTGAGGGTGGAACCCCAATGAATAGGATTAGTGCCCTTATAAAAGACCCCACAGGGATGTCTCCCGCCTCCTGTCAAGCAAGACACAGTGAGAGGTGGCAGTCATGACCCAGAAAGTGGGTCCTCATCAGAAAGCCACTGAGGGCCTCCCTGGTGGCACAAGGGGTTAAGCACCGCACTATGAAGCAATCTGCAGCCTCTACAGCACGAGTTCGATATCCCTGGCCGGCCAGGGAGCAACCCACATGGCGCAGCAGACCTCTCCTGTCTCGCCCGCTGCTCTCCTCGGCAGTGTATTTCAGTCCGTCTGCCTGTTCTGTTCCCCACTCTGTCTCTGGTGAATCCTCTCACCCCCCACACCTCTGGCCTGTACCCAGCTGTTGTATGCATAAATAAATAAATCTTTAAAAAAAAAAAATGAAAGCCGCTGAAAGATGCCTCGATCTTGGATTCCCCAGCAATACATCTCTTATTATATGCCATCTAGTCTGCGCTATTTTGTTACAGTGACCTGAACACTTGCTACAACCTCAATTTGGTCCTGGTTCCAGCCATGCCTGCAGCTAGACTGTCTCTCAGTTACAGAGGCAGTACATTCCCTTTTTGGATGAAGCCCATCCAGTGGGTTTCTGTCATTTGCAAACAAAAATCCTGGTTAATAGATCCCATCTGTGAATGAGATAAAAACATTCCACCCTTAAACATCAGAGCTCTATTTTTAAGAACAAACAACTCTTTGCATATCAAGTACTTGGTTCATGAGCTCCGTGAATGGTGGTTACTAGCTACTGTTACGATGGTGAAGAAGGAAATCTGTGACCATCATCCTCATCTCCAGACACCGTCCCCGGCTGCCCTGCTGTGAGGAAGTGGCGGGAAGTCTGCCACGCACCTGTTTGGGGGGCTTGTGCCGATTGTACTCTTCTCCCCAGAGCTTGGCCTCCATCTGCAGACGCACGTCCTCAAAGTACACGTCCCTGCCCACGGACTCCATGTAGCGCTTGGCCACGTAGTTGGAGGCCCCCTTCCACTGCTGGGCATGAAGGAAGTTGGAGAGCTTCTTCCTGGGGACAGAGGCAGCCGGGCACCTGGGCATTTGGGCTCACTGGGGACTCACCCCTGGGTCCTCAGGACAGGGAGATCCTGGCTGACCTGGCAGACTGGAGCCAGGAAGGAAACGCAGGTGGGTGAGCAACCCACACCACGGCACCCTTCAAAGAGCTGGGGAAGGGACTTTTTAAAGATCTCCTATCGCATATCCCTTGGCCTTCAACCCCCAGAGCAGAGATCGGTGGGATACTCCCCATTCCTGCAGCCAACATGGGGTCCCAGGGAGACAAATGAGAGGAGCCTCGGCTGCAAGAAGCAGAAGTAGCTGTTTGTTTCTGGGAGATGTCAGGGATGTCTCAATGCCCTGATATTGGGAAGCCTGAGTCTGGGCTGGTCCCCAAGCATAGGGGAGTTCACTTACGTCCTGAAGCACTCCCTCATGGCTCCTCGGCCGAAGGGCTGCAAGACATCAGATGGGGGTTATCAGCCCCCACACCCTACCCACAGGCAGTCCTGAACCAGGAGATGTTCCCCCTGAACCTCACCCATAAGTGGGTGCCCTGGATCGCATCTGAATCCTAAATCCCTGGGCCCTCCCTCCTCTACCCCGGCACCAAGTCTGATAGAACTTCCAGCCCGAGGCTGCAAGGATGACTAGATCATCCTGTTCCCCTACCTGAGCTGAGTAGAACACCCAGGGAAGGCAGATATTATGGGACAGGGGAGGGGGAGACAGCACAGGTCAAGGAGTGTTTTTGCAGCCCTGTCTGTAAAGGAAAAGGGGGCAAACAACCTAAATGTCATCAACAGTGTGATGGATAAATCAGTTACTTCTGTTCATTTGATGAAATGCTACATAGCAACAAGAATGAACAAATTACAGCTCCAGCAAAAATAGGGAAAATGAATCAAGGCTGGCAGAATTCCGAGTGGTTGGTGCTTATCCTCGGGGGGAGAGTAATAGCACTGAGAGCATCTTGGGGGGCTGGTGGGCTGTGTTTTGACCTGGGTGCTGGCTACACCACGTGTTCAACTTTGTGAAACTCATCAGGCTTACACGTTTCTGCTTGTGTGATACACTAAAAGAAGCCTCACAAAGCATTCCTTACCCTATTATGCAGGAAGTACTCTATTTTCTAGTCTATTCCTTTTTTCAAAAGGCTGCTTGCAACCCACTGAATTCATTTAACAGCTCAGTAGTAGGTGGTGACCTGCAATTTTCGAAAACTGATAGACACACAGTCAACTGATTTTCCACGAGAGCGTTGAAAAGAAGCTTTGAACATGTGCTATGTGATTAAGATGTGGGGTGTCCAGAGCAGGCAAATCTACTGAGACAGAAGGAAGATTAGTGGTTGCCTGGGGCTGGGCTGGGGGGAGGTGAGGGGTTTGGGGTCTCACTGCTCACAGATGTTTCTTTTGGATATGCTGAATGTTCCAGGATGATTGCACAGCTCTGTCTGTACCACAAACCACCCGAAGTTAGAAAAGTAAAAAAAAGTGGGTGAGGGAGAAAAACGCCCACTTGGCCCTCCAGGACCAGAGGCTCTGCTCACCTGAGATGCCATCTTGATCAGAACCTCATCTTCCAGCCACTCCCTGGTGACAGCATTGTACCTGTGGAGAACAGGACCCACTCAGGGCTCAGGGCCCACAACATGACCTTGTCACTCACTGGATAAAGGTGAGAGACCTTCCTGAGCTCCCTGATGCTATGGGGGTCAAGCCTACTCTACACATAGGCCCAGCTGACCACTGCCCAGTCTGGATCCCTGAGGGGCCACGAGTGCTGCTGCTCCACTCTCACCCAACTTCATACCAGCAAAAAACACACTTCCATTGCCTCCAGCCCCTGGGTGTTTGTTCTGCAACACAGCTCAGCCTAGATGGTCACTATGTAACTTCTCGGACCACTGTGAGGTCTGAGCACATGCGCGCATGCTCAGGTATTAGCTGGAGTTAGCCCTTCTCCTTGACCCCAGGGGGACTTGGGCCTCACTGACTGTGAGCAGAAGGGACCCACCCTGAGGCCTCCTCCAGACCCGGGGACCTATAGCAATCGGCGGACACACTGCTGACCTGTGACGCGTGGCACACTCCGTGGCAATGTCTTCGAGGTGGAACTCAGCCCAGGGGTCGGGCATATGTTTGGCCTTCTCGATGGCCTGCTTCCAGGCTTCCTGCCAAAGGCAAAGGGAAGGTCAGGTGCAGACAGGAGCTTCTGGTACAGGCAACCCAGCCTCCTGTGACTCTTTGAAAAGCTGGTGTGCTACCTCCAGCCTCTGTGGAGGTGTCCCCACCTCCCCAGAGTCTCCCCATTTCCCTTCATCTGAAAACCACAACTGACATTGAGGTAGATCATTGCAGGCTTTTTTCAGATAGCCCTTGGAACTTTATAAGCTTGGTAACATGACCATGATTTGTATTTTTTTTTATTTTTTTAAAGATTTATTTTATTTACTTACGCATACAAGAACTGGGGTGCAGGCCAGAGGTGCAGGGGGTGAGAGGATTCACCAGAGACAGAGTGGGAAGCAGAACAGGCAGATCTACTAAAATACGCTGCTGAGGGGAACAGTGGGGCGAGGCAGGAGAGGTCTGCTGTGCCGTATGGGTCAGCTCCCTGGCCAGCGGTTGGGGATCAAACTTGTGCTGCAGTGTCTGACAATAGCTTGATAGTGCTGAGCCTTAACCCCTTGCAACACCAGGGAGGCCCCGACCATGATTTTTGAAGAACAAAGGATAACTGTGTACACTGCTGGGTATAATGGCAGCATTCAAGTTTGAGTAAATACAGAAAAACATATTTTATAACATCTATTTGGCGAGTATAACAGTGATTATTTCCAGAAGGGGCCTTAGGGAGCCGCTGAAAGCTTCCTCATGTAAGACCCAGAGGGCTTTGCTTGCTGTGACAGTAAGAGTGATAGGAAAACGTGGCGACAGCCACAATGTCCTATGAGGCAAAGAAAGTGCGAGCACGTTATCACATATCCAGCCTCCCCCGATGCAGTCCAGGAAACTGATGATGATTAAGGTTTTCCTTATTTTTATTTTGTACCCTTGGGCTTTGAAGAACCAAAGCCTTTATTATTTAATCATGGCTATGTGTCCCTTTTTATGAAAACCCCAGGTCACTAATTCCTATACTAATTATCATCAAAACTATTAGCCTATTTATTCAGCCAATAGCACTACCCTCCAGTCTCCTCAGCCTCCTCCTGTTTTGCAGACAGAGGCTCACTGCCCGATGCCAACGTCCCTCTCTGTGTCCTCCATCTGCCAACAGGCCCTCGTGTTGCTGGAGGTCGAAAGCTTTCTGGACCAGATGTCTAGGCTTCACTTGCAGATAATTAAGCCCCAAAGCACAAAGAGGTTCACCTCGTCTGGTATGCACAGAGCTTTTTGTCCGGGGGTTTTCCGGGGGTGGACGGGGATGTCTCTCCCCAGTGAGTCATCAGCTCCTCTGTCATTCCTAGGTGATAACTGCCCTTTGACCAACTTGTGAACACCGCCCTTCGAGAGATGAGGCAACCACCGAGGTCTGCCAGGAAGGGTGTGGGAAGCAGACGTGCCATGGCTGGGGGCAGGGGCAGGGAGACTGCTGAGTTCTAAACCCATAAACATTCGCTCCAGCCACTACACTTCTGGGGACTCACCCGGCCCATGCACCCCTGCACAGCAGCACCAGATGCTCACAGAAGTGTGGTTTTCAGTAGTAAAAGACTAGAAACAACCTTCCTACCTGGCCTCGGGGGACTGGCCAGAGACATTACGATGCTTCCACACAATGACATGAAGGCCAGTGGTTCAAAAACACAAAATAACAAGATGACACAAAATATATTCAGAAAGGGCACCTTCAGACATGGCCCCACCATTCACCAGGGCAGGAGGTGAAGGTGTCAGCGCCTCGGGGTGCTCCGGACCCCAGAGCAGAATAAACGAGCTGATACATATACAGTGTGTGGAGGCACCACTGCCTGAACCTGGGGCCTGTTACGAAAGTTGTAGCTGCTATCAGCTCACATGTGCAGAAACGGGAAGCCAGAGGCCACGGTGCAGTAGAGATCTGTGGTAAGCATTTCTGTGAAACACAGAAGGTCCCCTCCAAACAGTATAAGGAATATTTCTGGAAGAATAGCCCCCAGGAAGACAAGGATCAGAGGCAGGAGTCTTACTTTTCACTGTCTACCATTTATACAGTTGGAATTCTTTTTACCGAGTACATGTATTATTTACCTATTATAAAATATATGCATTTTTAAGGCTCGCTTAGATATATGTATAAGGAGATTTACTACATCACTATTTGTAAAAAAAAAAAAAAAAAAATCCTAAACAAAAGGAACCAAAGTGTCTATCAAGGGGGCTAAATAAATCCAGGTGCATGATGGGATGGAATAAAATTTTAAAAATGAGTGAGCTCTATGTGCTGGCATGGAAGGACCTCCAAGATAGTCTCTGGCCAGGAAAATAATTTCTCGAGTTAAAATTTCCTACTTTATTAAAGAATTAAAACATAGATATGCTGCTTATGTTTCATATGTTTCTTCTAGAAAAAGGAGAAATGACAGAAGACTAGAAAGGGGTGTAACCAGTCCTAATCCAAAGATAATCCCAGTTGGCAGGTTGATGTACTTCCCTCCAGGCTCAGGGTGTGTGTATGTGTGTGGTGTGTGTGTCAGACATAGAACATTTTCTGCTATTTAAGTTGAACAGAAGCACTTTCCCACATTCATGATAAACTATAAACATCCTCTGATTGGCTGCCCGATATTCTATGGAGAGGGAGGCCACCATCCCCCGGGGACTCGGGAGGAAGGCACTGGCCTTGACAGTGAGGGAACATGAAGTTCACAATACATGCCAGGTACAGGCGGGGTAGTGCCCCCTTGGGGGAATGCCAGTTGACTAGCAAGTTGCCAGTTGACAACCAAGTTGTTATGGCAACAGTAAATAAAAGAGCACACCAGGTTTGGGGAGCTCCAAGAGGCTTGGAAACTGGGCTGCTGTCTCCCTCTGAAGTTGCTACGGGCAACAGGGAAGCCACAGAGCCTACTTCTTATTCCCCAGGAGGGCAGCGAGGATGGACTCCACCCTGGGTTTAAGTGGTCATTCTGCCAAGGGCAGGGAAGGCCAGTGGACGCACCTCTGGCTGAGCAGTCAGGGCTGACCACAAGCCGAGAAGGCCACTCATGAAGAGAGAACTGGAGCAGAGAGATCTGTGCTGGGCGCTGCCCTGATCCAGGGAAGTGTTTTGGCAACTCTGGCAAGGTCTTTTTTTTCAAACTCCACTGAATTTCTCTCTTTGCATCTTGATCTCAAGTGGTTTCATTCACTTTACTTTTAAAACTTTGTCCTTAAAAAGAAAAACAAAGGAGCTGCAGACAGCTAGCTTCATAGGTTGCATCTTAACCCCTTGCGCCACCAGGGCTGGTCAGAGAGCTAACTCACATGGCACAGCAGACCTCTGCTGTCTCGCGCCTCAGCAGTGTATTTCAGTCGATCTGCCTGTTCTGCTCCCTACTCTGTCACTGGTGAATCCTCTCACCCCTACACCTCTGGCCTGTACCCCAGTTCTTGTATGCATAAATAAATACTTTAAAAAAAAAAAGCAAAACAAAGGGAGAAAAGGTCTGCTGGAGCCCCCAGAAGGAACAAGAAGGAAGGGCAGAGGAGACAGTTACAGAAGCTGAAAAGTGGGTCCTCAGGGCCCTGGGGCTGCCAGTTTAACAGACTGAGACATTAGCTTTAAGAGTTTTCAGGAGAAACCTCATGAAAAGAGAAGCCGATTCTAGAAGCCAGGGGAGGTGTGGGCTACACAGAACCCGGGAGCAACCCCGGGAAACCAGGGGGCACACCTACCCTGCCGGAGGATTAGGAACTGCCTTGTCCGGCAATGAGCTTTAAAAAGGGGAAATTTACTGATTTGCTAGTTTGGGGGAAGAGCAGGCACCATGCTGTTTTATTTTTTTCCTTCTTTTTTAAAAAAAATTTTAAGATTTATTTATTCATGCATGCAAGAACCAGGGTATAGGTCAGATACGTGGGGTGGGGGTGGGGGGGCGGTGAGAGGATTCACCACAGCCAGAGTGTGGAGAACAGGGGGATTGAGTGAAATACATTGCTGAGGGGAGCAGCGGGTATGACAGGAGTGGTCTGCTGCACCATGTGGGTAGCTCCCTGGCCGGCAGCCTGGAATCAAATCCATGCTGCAGACAGCTTCACAGCGCTGAGCTCAACCCCCGGTGCCACCAGGGGAGGCCCCATTTTTTTCCTTCTGAAAACATCTTTTTCTGCACACAAGTAATATGTACATTAGTTTAAAAAGATTCCAAATGTTTAAAAAATACATAGAGTGTAGGTATTCAAAGTTCCCCTAATGGCACTCTCTCCTCCAGAGAGGAATTACATTTCACTATGAATTGTTGGATGCAAATTTTTCCACCAGTTTTGCGATGCACATACTATTACATGTGCATATGTATTTTTTGAAATAAAAATAGGATTGTGTTTTTAAATTTTATTTATTTATTTATATATACAAGCACTGGGTACAGTCAGAAGCGCGGGAGGGTGAGAGAATTCACCAGAGCCACAGCGGGAGCAGAGCAGGCAGAAGGACTGAAGTACACTGCTGAGGGGAGCAGCGGGCGCCAGGAGAGGTCTGCGCGCCATGTGGGACCCTCCTCCGGTGGCTGGTGAGCAGCCGGGGATCAAACCAGTGCTGCAGAGGCTGCAGGCAGCTTCGCAACCCAGCGCTCAACTGCTGCACTACCGGGGAGGCCCAGGATTGTGTTTTTTAAATTGCTTTTTTACTTAATAGCATATCAAAATAAAACAGCATATGAAAATAAGAAGAGATGGTCCTTATTATGGACCAGCTCTGGACCAAAGGTTTTCCATATAATTGTGTGTGTGTGTGTGTGTCTACATGCTATTTTCAAGTCAAATCACATAGCAATATCATTTTTGCTTTAAAGTAAATGCAGCATTCTGTTGTAATTTCAATAGACCCATTCTAATGGACATTTGAGTTGTGTCCATTTTTTCCCTATGATAAACAATACTGCAAAGCTCATGTTTTAATATGTAAATACGAGCACTTACACAAATACTTGTGTACTGGTTCTCAAATGAGGGCGGTACCCCATCAACCGGCTTTGCAAATACATCAGGGAGACATTCTGGGTCATCACAATAAGTGAGGGGAAATATGGCATTTAGCAGGATAGTCAGCACCAGGGCATGCTGAATTTCCTACAATATAAAGGACAGTCCCTTCCAGTAAGGAATATGCCAAGATGCCAATAGTACCCACCATGAGGATGTAACAAGGTGGTCCCCAAGGAAAGGGGAAGTTTTAGTTTTCCTGGTCCACCCAAGAAAGGGTGGAGCTGAGCAGGGAGGAGGAGGAGAAGCTGGAGAATGAAAAAGCAGAGAGATGGAGAGCAAGGAGGAGGCCTGGAGGAGCGCAGGGAGCAGAGAGACATGTGAAAAGGCTGCATCTGTGTCTCAGCCTTGGACTTGCACCAGCGACTTGGGGGACATTGAAGGAGACACTTGAAACAGACGTGGGTGAGAGACCCGCGGGGAGGCTGACAATGGCAGCCTTTATCTGGACTCTGATATTGCTCATTTCCTTCCAGACTTGTCTGGCCCCTTTCCTATGGGTCCCCACCAGAAGGTGTCTTAGACTTGTGGCAAGCTTTTGGGCCTCAGTGGCCCTGTTTTTGGGCCAACCCTATTTGGATGGGCATCTACCCTCGAGGGGATGGGTAACTTTGGGTGCTTGATTTGGAAACTATGTTATCTATTCTTTGCCTTTTCTTCTCTTTATTGCACACTAATTAAAGCTCCTTTCCATGAAAGGCCTTATGCACTAGAGTATGTTTTGTCTTGATGTGGAGGGCAGGTTTAGGGGTTCTAGGGTGCCCCTCATTCTGCACTGTAACAGGGAGACTTTGGTTGAGGATGAACCTGGAGATGGAATTGTGATCTAAGTTATAAATATGCATTTTTAATAACCTACTATGGAATGGTCCACAGTGGGTTATGTTTGAGGTAAATACTGTCTGTCACTGACTCCAAATGAAGCACAGCATGGCTCCCAGCACTGGGGATGAGTGAACAGCCCACAGAGTCCTGCTCCCCAAAACTCATGCTCTGGTGTCACACCTGTAGACAAACCTCCCTTTGTGGGTCACTCATTTTGTTTCCTCTAAAGGCTTCACCACACTGTGTTCCATGGGCAGAGACTCTGTCTTCGTGTCTGAGACCCTTCAGCTCCTGGGCACACTTAAGGTTTGCCAAAAGGCCCCAGCCAGGCTCTGAGTGCACATCTGGGTGTTCAGGCAGTTGTAAGCAGAGTCCTTCTGAGGGGTCTACCCCCAAGATGCCACCAGGACCCTCCTTCCCTGGAAGCAGCCCCTCTTCTGTGACCCCCACCTCCCACCCGGTGCCTGGTAGAGCTTGCTGGACCAAAGATGGGGGACACCTGGCTTGGGCTGAGACCATCACATTTCTTCCCCTGGAATAGGGCTGGAGAGGGTCGAGTCTGTTTTTACACATGGGCCCACCTGTAATGAGGGGATGCTGGGGTTCTGGGGGGTCTACATGTAGGCTGAGGGCCTGAGAAGAACAGAGAACAGGCAAAGAGAGATGGAGGGGTGAGACAGAGAGAGTCAATCCTGTTGCTTTCTAGTTAGTTCCTCAATCTGTTGCCTGTGTCCCCAGAGCCACTCCTGGCTTACTATAATAAGGCCCCTCGAGCCCAGGGGCTGTGTGGGCTGCTCTGTGCCCCTCCAGGCCACTCTATCCCCTGGTGCAGGCCTCCTTGGAATCAGCGTCTCTGGCCTGCCTGACCTAAGGAACAGACAGTTCTCCAGGCTGCATTCCCCTGGGCAGGGCGTGTGTTTCAGAAGCCGCTGGGGACAGGGAAGTGGGGCAAGGTGCAACCTGACCCTTCAGGGGCCCCCCAACCTCACAGGGGGCCCGTGAGGCTACTTCTGAGCTGCCTTTCCCAGGGTAATTCAGCCGAACTCTCCCAACTGTCGCCAAGAGCTGAAATGATTCGTTTTCTAAAAATGAATGCTGAAGTTAGAGAAGAATGGTTTCCATTTCAAATCCCAAAGTGGCCATAGTGTTTTCGCTTACAGTACTAACAGATACTTACTGTTGGCGGGGATTAAATCCAATAAGGATAACAGTGTTGCATTCTTAATTATTTCCTTGTTGGTTGTGATACAAAAGTCCCTTTCTCCTGTTCCTTTATGCCAGCTATGCCTGGTCTAAGTCCTAACAAAATAAACACCCTTTCCCTCATCTAGAGGAAGGATGCTGAACCCTACAAGTGGCATTTTTTTTTTAACTGCAACCCACATAAAAAACAACATTTTTCATCATGCCCTGGGCCCACATACACATACATTGGGATGAAATAAAAATATTTAACAACAGGTATGTTCTGAGTAGCTGGCCATTGGCGACCCATCGGGTCATGGCGACAGTAGGTACGATGTTCCAAAAAATCAAGATCTTCACAATTTGCACAATATTGCTCACCAATATTTTCTATTCTGTTCTGTTCCATTTCTTAAAAAGCCAGTCAAGGTTTTCACAACCCAGTAGTAGGTCCCAAGCAGGAGTTTGAAGGGCACTACTCCCAAGCAATGAAACTGTGTTTCAACTCAACAAAATCCTCTAGCCTAATAGGCATATCGCCTCAGATCCAGAATTTAGAGCATCCTCTGGGGTTTGAAACACAGGGAAGACCTCAACCAGCAATCCCCAGTCCCCACCCCAGGGGGCAGGTAAGCTGGGGTGGAGGTTGGGGGGCCACTCACCTTGAAGTGGAAGGAGCCTGCCGGGGAGCTGCTCGAGCCATAAAGCTCACTTTTCCTTAGGTCCCCATAGTAGTTGCTGACCTTGGAATTGACATTCTGGTGTGACGCCAGGTCCTCAGTGATGGGGCAGATGAAAAAACCCTCATCATCATCGCTGTCTGCGTCAGAATCACTGTCGTGGCCATCCCGGGAGGTCCGGCAGCCATCCACGCCTTCCAGGCGGAAGATGAGGTCCTCCTCTGCCATGGTCTGGGGGCGCCCCTTTTACCCGCAGGGTGCGCTGCACAGCCAGAGTCTCTGGGTGAATGCAAAGCTGATGGTCCTGTGAGGGGAGCAGGAGAACAGGGCAGAACAATGACCAGGTGCTGTGATAAGTGAGGCACATATATACACAATGGAATACTATTCAGCGATCAAAAAAGATAAACTTGGGCCTCCCCAGTGGGCAGCGGGTTGAGCACATCGCTGTGGAGCTGTCCGCAGCCTCTGCAGCGTGGGTTTGATTCCCGGCCAGCCAGGGAGATACCCACACGGCGCGGCAGACCTCTCCTGTCGTGGGCGTTTTCAGTCAGTCTACCTGTTCTGCTCCCCGCTCTGTCTCTGGTGAATCCTCTCACCCTCCCGCACCTCTGGCCTGTACCCCAGATCTTGTATAAATAAATAAATCTTAAAAAAAAGATAAACTCATGCCTTTAGCAGCAACATGGATAGAGCTAGAAGGGATTATGCTCAGTGAAATAAGCCAGAAGGGAAAAGGAAAATATCAGAGGGTTTCACTTATAGGAGGAATATAGGGGAACCAAATAAGGGATCAGGGGAAAAAAACACAATAAAAATGAAAACAAAACCAAAATAAACCGGCAACTATAAATCAGAGACATTTTGCAGGGGAGGGGGAGAGAGGAATCAAAAGGAGGGAGGGAGGAGCACAAGGGACTATGGTGATGGAGCACGGGTGAACTGGTGGTGGAAATTCTATGGGGATTACACCTGAGAAAAGCAAACATTGTACAAGAATGAACAATGATGTAAAATATACATAAATTTTTTTTTAAAAAGTGACGGCAGTGCAGTCTGTGTCATCTTTTTGGACTGTGGTTGATGGGAACTAAAACCCAGGAAAGCGAAACCATGGCTAATGGGGGGTGACTCTACTAAAACCATTGAATCGTACACTTCAACCAAATGGATTGTAGGTTTGTAAATTATATTTCAATAAAAATAAGTTTAAAAAAAGATAGTCCAAGAAACCCTGTTAAATGTAAAAAGCAAGTTGGTGATCCTCTTAGTGTTCAAAGAAAAAGCACATTTGAAGCTCAATGAAAACTTCCTGAGGGCCTCCCTGGTAGCACAAGGGGTAAAGCACCGCACTATGAAGCTGTCCGCAGCCTCTGCAGCACAAGTTCGATATCCCTGGCCAGCCAGGGAGCAACCCACATGGCACGGCAGACCTCTCCTGACTTGCCCGCTGCTCCCCTTAGCACTGCGTTTCAGTCAGTCTGCCTGTTCTGTTCCCCACTCTGTCTCTGGTGAATCCTCTCACCCCCCCACCCACATGTCTGGCCTGTACCCCAGCTGTTGTATGCATAAATAAATAAATCTTTAAAAAAATAAAAAAAAGTATCTCAACATAAGATATATTTATATTTTAACCCACTATACACCTATACAACATAAAATCAAAATTTCAGGAAACTATTCTTAATCTTACTTTGTACAATGTACTCTGCTATTTTCAAGTCTACTCTTCTATGTATTTTTCCCTTTTATTCTTTTTTTTTTTTAAAGATTTATTTTTATTTATTTATACATGCACTGGGTACAGTCAGAAGTGCGGGAGGGTAAGAGAATTCACCAGAGCCAGAGCCAGAGCCAGAGCGGGGAGCAGAGCAGGCAGAAGGACCCAAGTACACTGCTGAGGGGAGCAGCTGGGGATTGAACCGGCGCTGCAGGGGCTGCGGGCAGCTTCGCAACCCAGCGCTCAACCGCTGCGCCACTGGGGAGGCCCTTATTACCCATACCTATTTCTTAACTCAGTTTGAAAATCACTGGTCTAGGTGTCAATGCTGAATTTGTCTCTTACCTTCCTGGCAGGACCATGGCCACTGGCCTGTCCAGTGTGAATCACCTAATCAAACATTCTCAGGTCCTGTGCCCTCTTCTCTCCTCTCTGGGCAGCTCCCTGCCCCAGCCCCTACAGCACTCTGGTCGGTCCTTGGCCATAATTCCTGCTGACCGAGGTAGCATGTGCCTAGTCATTGCCCCCTGGGGGCCAGGCTGTGCCACGGAAGGGTCACAACCATAGCTTGGCCTGCTCCTCCGGGCCGTGCAGTGCAGTGGTTAAGAGCCTGACTTGGGAGCCAGGCTGCCAAGGGTATGAATCCTGGCTATGCTGCTGGTGACCTTGACCAAGTAAATTCACCTTGCCAACTTCCCCATTTTGTCAGAAGAGCTCAGTGGGATGTGGCCTCACCCCTGGCCATGTCCCACCATAGACCTGACATTCTCATCAGCCCGGGGAAAACAAAACAGCTACAGACCAGCAGCTGTGACCCTCCTGGCACAACGCCCCGTACAGGGCAGACACTTGTATGTATTCATAACTGAGTGAGTAAGATCTGGTTTATTGCATTTCAGTGGTCATAAATTTGCTCTTAAGACAACTGTGGTAGTGTCTGCTAGTCATCCCCTACAGCTGTGCTCTTCCTTCTAGCAGGATCACTGCTTTTTAGCTAAGCACATGGGCACTCAGAAACAGATCTTCATTTCCTAGATTCCTTTGTAGTTAGGTGGAATCATGTGACAAGTTCTAGCCTATGGGATATAAACTGAAAGGTTGTATGTAACTTTAGGGAAGGGATTTTTAAGGGAAGGAGCTCCTCTGCTCTCCCTCCTTCCTACTAGCTGGAATGTCGGTGTGATGGCTGGACTGAAGCAGCCATATTTAGCCATGAGGTGGAAGCCATGTGCTGAGGATGTCAGAACCACAAGATAGAGGGAGCCTAGGGCAGCACAATCTTCCATCAATGTGGTGCAAAAAAGTCCTGGACTCACCATCTTCAGATGTTGTTATTTATGATTTACTATAATATTATTTTGTTTCCCTTATTACTTGTTCATTTGATCTGGCCCAGTAGCCCCTTCTCTCCTTTATCATAAAAAATCACATTGTGTCTCTTATGACAAGTTGATGCCTGGGTAAGGTCGGCCTAGGAAAACTGTGGTCTCAATTAAGAGTCCTAATTTGGCAGTTACTCCATATTTGCCCATGAAAACTGGGCACCCGGAGGTTGTTGGAGTCCTCTAGACAAGGAGGCCCCACTGGCCCATAACTTAGCCCCAAGACAACTGTTTCAACACCAGCCAGGGCACCAAGTCTCCTAACAACCTCCACCTAACCTGGGCCAGAGAGCCTGAGACCAGGAACAGGGCCCCAGCTCCCAAGACAAATCCCAAAAGTTGAGGGTTCTCTAAACAGATTTCCTGCCCCCTCACTCGGGCATCCCCACCTCCTCCTCCTAGTCCCCAACACACCTGGGAAAATATTTCTATGGAGCGGCACCGCGTGGGTAGAGTTCTGAGTCAGGCAGACCCAAGTTCAAGCCTAGCTCTGCCACTTACTAACCATGCCTTGGTTTGTTTCCTCCTATCATCTTGGAAGAAAAACTGTACCCACCCCCTTAACCTGACCGAGCTAGGAAAGGAAGCCTAAATGGTAAAGTTGCTCTCAGACCCGGAGAGCACAAAAGAAAAAAAAATATCTAACTTTCTCTTTGAGGTGGGTATTTACAGACATGGTTTATCTGATAGCCTGAGCAAGAAGAAGTGAACCTCCTTGAGCTGAGCTTCAGGGCTGAAGACCGAGCCCCCAGGAGATTACCCAGAGGCAGGGAAGCACCAACAGAAATCCAAAACCCCAGTTATCTGAAGAAAAGCAATCCTCTCCCCACATTTTCAGGGATGAAGTGCCCTGCAAGTAGCCAATGAACTTCAGCCAAGTCCCCACTTCTTTGCCCCAACCTGCTTTTCAGCCAATAAAATTTAACTCCTTTGTTCTCAACCCTGGCCCCCCCAGACTTAAATGTCCTCATTTCCTTTCTTAATGGGGAGGCAGATTTGAGTGTTTTCCTCTTCTGCCTCCTTGTTTGTTGGCCTCCATGAACTTGCTCTCTCCAAACACCCAAGTTGCCATATTTCAGTTTCAACAGCGTGCATCAGACACACGGGTCTGACTTGATAAGGCTGGTAACACTGCGACAGAGCAGCACAAAGACATGCTAGCTATTTTTATCATCATTTTTAATATAAGGGGTCTGCGCCTTGGGTCTCAGCAGGCTGGCGACCAGGGCGTCTGCAGGAATCCTCGGGGACAGGCTATTTTAGACCCTGGCCATGGAACTACGGCTTTCACTGGGTTTTGTTATAAAGGGCTCCCCTGGCAGCCGCTGAGACAGGAAACTAGGTTTGCAAGGTCCAGATCAGGCCTGTGGGCCAAGCCACAGAGACAGCTGGTCCTCCCTGGGGCTCCCATTGCCCCCTGAAGCTGCTTTCCTGTCGTGGAAAGGGGCGGGAATATTCCGCCTGCCACTCCTGAGAACCAGCACCCCACAGCCAGTGCAGCCAGGCTGAGTCAGCCAGTGCACACAAGCCCCCCCACGCACACAATGCACCCAATCCTTGACTGTAACCACTGTGCACACAGGTGACTTCATGCCGTGTACCTGCTTCTGTTTGGGGGCCTGCCCCTCCCCCAATCTCAAGCTTTGTGGTTGGGCAGCCACCCCCAGGTACCAGGGGAGTGTCACACCCAGGTTTAACCAACCGTGTTGGGGTGCCTAGCCACAGTGATTGGCTCAGAGGCACATGTGACTCAAGTCAAACCAATCTGGCCCATCCCAGGGAAGACTGGAGCTTCAGCTTGAGAAACTAAAGAGGCCACCACCAATCCTTGCTGCAGGATATGAGCCTGAAATGGAGCTGAAGCCACCAAAAACAAAGCTGATGTGCAGGGAAGATCAGGACAAGAGATGAAGAGAAAAATAAGAGTGATGACATCATTTGAGAACCAGAATCCAAACCCTGCCTGAAGCCAAACCATCCTGCTAGGTGCCTGAATTGCAAAATATGACAAAACCTTGCTTTTTAGGAGGTGGGAAGATGACTTGATTACACACTGGTTTTCTGTTACCTGCAATATGAAAAGTGCAAAACCCAGTTGGATCTTAGGATCACTGAATATTATTTCTATATAATTAAAAAAAACTTTTATTAAGCATGCGGTTAAAAATAATGCATCTCTCACACTAAGGCCACCATATATGA